AAATAATCTAAATTTCTGCAAGACAAAATGCAATACATATAATATTTCATGAAACAATTAACTATTCATTATAGTGTGCCCTGTCACTAGTTAATATGTAATTGGACTCTTATCAAAAAGAATTAAATTTTAAATTGAGCTGAAAGTGATTCCCTTTACCATTATAAGGGAATCACTTTACCATATCATTACTTTACAATAGCATCAGATATGATATTGTAATAACCAATATTATATCTGATTGAATACCTACTTTGTGAATTGCTGATCCCACCTTAACTTTGTGTGTGGTTGGAGGGTAGAGGGATAGAAAGAAAGCAAATTATTTTTATTTTTTTGCTCCTAGGGGAAAGTAAATTCTCAGCCCTATCTTTCATATTTTTTCTTTTTGTCTCTGTCTTCCCTGACACCTGGACTGCTTCCAGTCTGGTGAGTGAGGTGCCAGGTGGAAGGGCCCGCCATGCTTTCACATTGAACTTGGTTGGCATTTCAGCCAGGGAATGCAGCCCAGACGGCAGACAATGGGAGGGAGCCCTCTGACCTGGCCTTCACTCCTGCTCCCTTTCTTTATCTCAGGCAGAAGCATAAGCTGGGTATTACACAATGATCATATTTATTAAGCTAAAAGAACACAATCAACAAGATGAGGGAGAGGAAGCCTTCTTCCATTTTATCTCATTTATAGTGAGTCTGGATGGTAGCAAAGTCACGCATAGGGTGTTCCCAAAGCCAATAATTCCTGGCACATCCTCTCTACAGTATCAGTGTTGACAAAATTTGTGTGTGAGTGTATAATTTTTTTTTTGTGTGTGTATGTACATATACATGTATAAGTTTATTTTACTCATTACCATGGTTCCTGACATTTTATGAATCTATAACTTATTTTAAAATTTGATGAGAGGTATAGATCTTCTCCCTAGAAAGATATGCATATGTATATCTTATGAAAATTTGGAAGTTTTTTTCTGAAAACCCATTCATGCCTCAAATGATAACCCTTTGATAGGCTCAAAGGCTACATTTTCAAAGATATTAAAAAATTACATGTTGTTAATGTTTTTCTCACTTTATATATTATGTTATATGATTTTTTCCTTTTAAATTGAGAACCTGAACAATTATGTTACTTCCTCATCTACAACTTAATGCAGAGTGCAGATTTCCTGACCTGCAGGGTGAGGTGGAGCATGCCTATTTGGGAGGCTGAGGCAGGAGGATCATGAATTCAAAGCCAGCCTCAGCAAAAGTGAGACAGTAAGTAACTCACTAAGATCCTGTCTCTAAATAAAATACAAGAAAGGGATGGGGGGATGTGGCTCAGTGGTTGAGTGTCCCTGAGTTCAATTCCTGGTGCCTCTCCCCCCTGCAAAAAAAAAAAAAAAAAAAATTCCTGACCTAATTCATGTCCTTGTAAGGGAATCAGCAATTTCTACTAAAGAGCCCAAGATACTGATTTGAGAGCAGGGGAGTTGGACAGCAGAACCACGTTCAGCTGGAGGCCACAGAGACATTCCATTTTCAGTTACTCTGGAATTGCAAGTTTTAATCCCCGAAAGTAACCAGCTGATGCTGCCTCTAATGTCTTCTTTCATTTCAGCTGTTCAAAATATTACCCATACTTGAAGGCCTTCCTTCATCATCCCCTCTCAAAAAAAGAAAACACTTGCAGAATCAATTTCCCTCTCCATTCTGTCTTTCCATCACATCTGTTTGTAACTACATAATTTACTTAGCAAAATAGTTAACCCTCTCATCTTCCTCCCTAGAAGGAGGATCAGGAGGAGGGCTCTTTGTGTCTTGTACACAGTAGGCCAACAGTATGAGTTGCAGAGGTGGCTCTGGAAACAAAAGTTTGCGTTCTAATCCCAGTTCTGCCATTAATTAGCTGTTTATTTTTAGGAAAAATACTTAAATTTCAAGTATCACTTTTCTTTTTTTTTAGGAGATAGATATGATACTAGCATGCATTTCACTGAGCTATTGTAAAGATTATGTATTATAATACATAAAAAAGTACTTAGTATAGTGTTTGGATTATAGTAAGTGTTGCACAAATATTAGTTATATAATTTGTTGGCAGAATTTTTTTATTATTTGTTTTTTGTGTCATCATTTTTAAATTATTTTTTGATTGACACATAATAGACATTTATGGAGTACAATGTGATGTTTTGATACACGTATCTATCCATAGTGTAATGACGAAATCAAGGTGATTAGCATATTTATTACCTTAAATCTTTATCATTTTTTATGGTGAGTACATTCAAAATCCTCTTTTCTAGCTATTTTGAGATACACAATCTGTTATTATTATGGTATTTACCCTACTATGCAAAAGAACATTAGACCTTTTTCCTCCTGTTACTTTATCTGTTGATCAAATTTCCCCATCCATTCTGCCCCTACTGTCCCCAAACTCTGTTAATCACTATTCTATTCTCAACTTCTATGGGATCAACTTTTTAGACCCCTTATATAAGTAAGACTATGCAGTATTTGTCTTTCTGAACAGTTTGTTGTTGTTGTTGTTGTTGAAAAAGGGTCTTGCTGTGTTGCACAGGCTGGTCTTGAACTTGTGATCCTCCTGCCTTTGCCTTCTTAGTAGCTAGGATTATAGGCACATGCCACTGTGCCCAGCTTGAACAGATTTTTAAAAAATTAAATTAAATAAATTTTTATTGATACTTAAAAACATAAAAATTGAACATATTGATGGGTACCATTTGATGTCTCATGAACAAAAATTTTTAGAAGGAATTATCTTTAACTTTTTGGAATGGTAAATAATAAAAAATAAAGGTGTCATAATTTTTTTGGATGAAATTGAAATCTCAGTATTTTCAGGTTCTTTTAAATAATTTTTGTATTTAATCTATTAGTCTCAATCTAGTTTCAGCTTTTATTCCAACCAGCTCTGGGATACTAGAAGTGTCTTTATGGCTTGCCTCTAACACTGTCCCTAACACTGAAAGACAGGGGTCTTTAGTCTCCAAGAGATTCTAAGATGAATTGAGCAGGTGACTGATAGAGAAAGTATCTTGAATATGGTTTTTGAGACCTCTTCTCCAATTTCTCCCTCACCATTATCTTTCCTAACAGGGACCAGGCCAGATAGCTCACATGGATAAGTTCACTTCTGCAAACAATAATGGCTCACTTATGGTAGTGAGTTACTCACCTAAAGAACAGCACAGGTATTTACTCTTCAACGAGTTAAAAAATTGTTTTTATTTATATATGTACCTTTACCTAACTCCTCAAACTCCTTTCAAACTAATGTTATGTTTCCTTGGATTTTGCTCATTTTGAGCATGTGAGTTGGAATAAATGTTAAAGGGCAAAGATTTTGTTTCATTTGGCTTTGTATTCCTAGTGTATGTATACAACAGATAGTTGCTGATTAAAACTAGATAATACTGCATGTTGCATTGAAAAAATTACAGAGTTTGGTTGTACTAGATGGCTTATTTTTAATAAAGAGATTGAAATAAAAATTATCTGAACTTCAAAAGTTTGAGTTAGAAATATATTTTCTGAGAAAATCTTTAGTATCAGAGTCAGATAGATTGGAGTATCATCTCTTTCTATCTTTTTTGGTATTCAGTTTTGTTAATTATCAGTGAGGACCTAATTTTGCACTATTAATAAAATTCTACATTTATTTTCTTGTTTTTATGTCTTTAACATCTGTCATATTTCTTTCTGACATCCTGTCTAAATGAGAATTCATTCTGTGTTTTTAAAAATACTGCATGTGAAAGCACAGCTTTGTAACTCCTATTTTTTTATGTCAATAGCAGTGAATATTCTCTTAAATTTCACTGATATGATATACTTGATAATGAGAAATTAGAATTATGAAAGTACATACATGATATGGGAAGCGATCAAGCATCAGAATTTGTTGATTGATTTTTCTTGTCTATAACAGACATTTGAAAAAGTCAATGTTGACAGGAATGGAAAATCTGCATGTGGGTTCTCAGGATAGTCGTTCATTTTTTTCTCCATAGTCAAATGTCTGTTTTCTTAAGCAATAAATTTAGCTTCTGAGAAAAATTAGTTTTAGTTTTGCATTTCTCTTTGTTTAATTTTCAGCTCATCATGGAAGGCTTTCTTAGTCCTACCATTCTGCTCCTGGACCTGGCCATGTCAATCCCAGTGCCAGGTGCTGGCCGACAGCTCAAGGGGGCCCAGCATTGAAGGACATGCCAGGTGGACCCTAAGCCTTGGAATGCCAGTTCCTACTTTTGCCCAAAGCCAATCAACTGGATGAAGAGTGACTTTCCTCTATGTTACAATAGTGTTTCATTGGAAATACATGCATCCTTAAGCTGCAGAATTTTGTTTAATATAGCTGTTCTATGAAGATCTGTCAGCACTCAATTTTTTTTTCAACACTCAGTTTTTTTCCCCCAAAGATCTACTAACATTGAGATAAATGACCCAGTAATATGAAATGATGAAGATATCAGAAGAACCACACTGAAAACTTTGAGAGTAATTCAATTCTGATATACGATTTAATATCTGATATGATATCATAGGTAAATATTCTTAAGCCAGTCAGTTCATGCTGTGGAACTGTTTTATAACAACAAAGTCTATCTTTTGTCTTTGGTAACAAATCTTTGACTAGAGGTCAATAAAGTTCAGAAATGGTTCCAGAGACTCAAGTTCAAATTGGGATTATACCTAGGAGATAACTATGGAAGCCCTGTAAGAACTGGCTTCAGCTGTTCATTCTGAACAAGGCAGCCTCCATAGGTGCAGATATACTCGGACCATGATAAATTAGGTTCAGGGATCCTGTTCAGCTTAAGACAATCAGTTTGGAACAAACTGAATTCCTTGACTATCTTTGTAAATCAATTTAATCTCCCTTGGGGTATATATTGGACCTATTTCAAACTCATGTTCTTTGGATGTGGTCTCCATCCCTGAGAGGCTATTATTGATCATACTGTGTCTGGCTCCACATTGGGCTCACTTACCTGATACAGGTTGGCAAGATGGTGGTTAGTTTTGATCAAAAATGGCTGGTTCACCCCTGGGTGGTCAACATCATGTGCTGCTGCAGCAAGTAGTCCAAGCATGATGTCCAGAGGTGTGAGGAAGCTGGCCAACTGTTAAAAAGTCAAATTTGGAGACTGACTATTATGCTTGTACAAATAGGGTGGCATTGTTTTTGGATAAATCAAACAGAATGAATCAGTCTTATCAGCCAGATCTTTATCCTGTGAGGTATTCAATGAGATGACATGCACCTGAAATTGCAGGGAAAAAAAGGGCTACGTGGACAATAATTGAGGAAGCTCAAATTGTGCAGAGCATTCAGGTATTCTCTTTTTGCTTCTACCACTGTGTTTTGTTTTGCTTCTGTAATGGCTTGGTTTATTGGCAGCATTGCTACCTGGTGGGCAGGGAGGAGGCAAGGAAGAGACTAAAATGAGCCTTGCTCCTAGAGAAAGCAGTAAATGAAGGAAATAGTTGAAGACAAGATGATGGACACCCTAAAAGAATCATTTGTATATTTCAAGTAATATATCTTTACCATTTGTTTGAAAGAAATTGGCTGAATTGCCAAATTTGCATGCTTCTTCATTGTGCAACACAGAGGGGAGGGATATGTGAGAGTCTTTAGTTTTTTTGTTTAGCTAGAAAAATAAGAAGGAGAATGGGAATCCAGTACTTAAAAAAATGCAATTGTATGATTTATTACAACTTTTAAATTTCTTACAGATTAAAAAGTGAAATCATTAATGTCTTTGGGATATTTTACAGGTGTGAGGCATTTACCCAGCTTTATCCCAAGAATGCTTATTTGGTATCTGCATATTTAGTGGTTGACGTTAAAGCACATGTATATTTAGTGGCTTGTTGAAAGTGATTGAACTAAACCGTTAGACTGAAATATCATTTTCCAAAAACATCAAGAAAGTTCATCTTATACATTTTATCAAAAAACTAAATTTTACATAGTGATGCATTATCTAGATTTTGGGTAATGAACATTATTATAATGCTTTCAATTTTTAACTTTTCATTGGTTTATTGCATCACAGCATGCTTGCTGAGAGGTCTTTGGTGTTCACAGGTTTTCTTGGGCCCTGAATTCAGGATATCTAGTTGGCTCATTAACAAATGAAAGGAAACTTCAGAAAATTTAATTCCTTTTCATGAATATTAAAAGATTTCAAAGTTGATACCTTGACTTCATTGTATTCATATTGTGAATGACTCCTAACCTAGCTGTTCAGAAATGCTGGGTAATTTAGAGTTTGGGTAGTTTACTTGGCATTCCAGATGGCTGAAGGGGCAGCTGGGACTTGCTTTACCTTTGGCTCTTTCAGGTAGCAGTGCATGGCCTGGGTGACATCAGCTGCATGAACAGCATTGTGATACGGGTTTTGGCCGTGGTAATCCTCTTGAACCATGACTAGGAGGTAAACAGATAACTCAGTCAGCTAAAATCAAAACAAGAATGGCTTCCTCCATCAGAATTATTAAAGGTGCTTTTTGCTTAAAAATATTAGTGCCTCCAAAATGTGTAGTGTGGGGATCCTTTGAAAATGAACGTGGTTTGCAAGCCTGGCAGTTCTACTGAGTTGTTTATAGTGTAGAGGAGGGGGGAAATAGGATTTGCGAGGCCCTTGGGATTTCTCACCTCCTTCATAAATCACCCCTTTCTGGCATTCATGAAGGCTCTCATTCATAGGAAAAATAAATATGTAGGAAAAGGACAACTTTCTTTCACACCATAGTTTATTTAAGTTTGCTGCCCTTTATGAATAATATGCCATAAATGGAGCTTCCTTTCAGAGCCCTGGTGGCATTGGACTTCCTAATATCTAACAATTGTGTTACCGCTTGAATAACAAATACAGACCAAGCAAATTGGGGGCTTCTTCATGTAGAAATTCAAAGTACTGCATTGATTCAATACCTCCTTGGAGATATTTCTCCCTTATTCAAGGAAGCTATCCTCTTCCATGCCCTCCAATCTAATGCCAGGCTTAGAATGCTCTGGAACCAAATCAAATAATAGACAAGGCAATTTTAATTTGTTGTTACAGAAGCCATTAGTCTGCTGCATCTGATAACCAAAGTGATTCTTAAGATGAAATGCAGTCAGAATGTATATACTTTCCAGATTTGCAAAGCATTCTCTCTGGCTGTGCATTCTGGTATTAATTTGGTTGTCAAAACTTTTATTTATTTATTTATTTTTGTACATGTTCTGGGCACATAAATATATCTAAAGAATCTGTATCTCCCTTTTTAGATAGATTAAAATTATTTGGCTCCATTCATGCCCACTACTTTGCTCAATCGATTTAAAATACAACCAGTCAGAGGTTATTTATATTTCTGGAAAGGAGCTATTTTGTGGCTTATTTCAAATATTTCTGTTATACCTCATATACCTTTTATTCATCGGGGTTGTTTATAATCATATTTAAACCATGGTGCCATCACTTATTATCTATAGAGGGCACATTACTTGACCACAATTTCCTCCTCTATAGAATGGGGATAATAATAGCTCTGAGCTCAAGGTGTTGCTGTAAGAGTCAATGTGTTAATACAGCAGGTCCTTGGAAGAGGTCTCAGAAGATGGAAGCACCTTGGAAGGCTGGCTGTTGAGGCTGCCATTATTTTACTCTAGATGGCATTTAGTCAGCTTCCAAACTCAACATGCAACCATGTGACAAGTCAAAGCCAGAAACACATGAAGTGTGTTTCAGAGGAAAGCCATCTGTGATTAGAAATCTGCCCTGGATAATTCACTGACCGATAAATAAGAATATGTACAAAGTGAGGCTGCTTTTTGGTAAAGGTGGTGGCAGGGTTGAGTGGACATATGAAGGGCTTTCAAGTTGGATGGACTTAGAAGTCAACTGATCTTCCACTTTCTAGCCATTGGCCTTGGGAAAGAAATAAATCTCACTGTACATCTTCTTAACCATGAACCAAATAGGGACAGTAATGAAAAATAATTTCTAACTTTTGGATTTGTTCAAATGGCTAGAGGTAATTACCTAACAATTAATTACCTAACAAATAATTACCCATAGTGGGTGCTACATAAATAGTCATAATTTTTTTAAAGCCTTTTTAAAATTGTCAGCAACTCATCTCCTGATTAGAATTTTTTGTGGTATACACGACAGGGGTTTTGATAACACATGAGCAGATTAAAATCATCTTTGACAGCTATATGTTTTTCATGGTTTTCTTTGCAGATTCTTAATCTCTAGTAAATGTAACTAACGAGGTAAACAATTTCTCAATGACTTGAGATGGGTAAACTATATTTAAAATAAAGATTATTTAAGATAAATTTGAGGCCTTTATTCACCGTGTTGTGGTTCTTACCACTTTATATTACAGTATTATGCACTGTCATTATTCATGGGAATGGGAGGTAGGAATGTGGAAAGAATAGACTTACCTAAAAACCTGTGTAAAGTCACCATGTCCAACTTGAAATGGTGAATGAGTCCATGGGTGTTGAAGAGGTGGCACAGCAGTGTTACCAGGCTGTTTCCTAGAGAACAGTCACCTGCTTTTAACTTATTTTTATCACTACTACATGCCAAAATTGATCCTAAGATCCAAGGTCTATATAATCATGTTTCTTTGTTAGAATCATTTTGCCCCTTTGGATTTGAAATTATTCAAGTATATTAGATATTATCACTGTGATTTGGTCCTAGGTTTTCTCTTATTATACAAATAAAATTTAGCTCAGACCTTCCCCCTTATACCAAAGACAATGAAAATATTAAAAGAAGGACTATGCCTAATGAAGTGTGGGGTACATACACATGTGTGAGTATCTTTTTAAAAACACAGTTGGTGGCCACTTGAAGTGTGCCTGAAGTCACTTCTAATTGATGCTTACATTCACAGAGGAATCTAAACCATCAAAATGCTTAGCAGTCACAGCTTATTCTTCCTACGGAACATCACCCCAGAGGGATTTGGCTATATTTTAGAACTCAAGCCAGCAGAGATGCAAAATTGAACCTATAATAACATAAACATTCAAGAAATACTGCTTAATAATAATGATTTTGAACTTTAAAAGCATTAGTTTATTTAAGAATTTGAAATGGACCAAGAAGATGCCTGCGTATCTTAAATGGAAAATTAGGTGTTGCCTAAGCCCCTCTTCCAGGGTACCCCATTCAATGGGTCTCTGCAAATTTTATTGTCTTTCAGTTATTTCAAAACTCTCACGTTAGAGATAATTGATAGCATTGCAACTGTTTCTTGTTCATAAATTTACAAATGAAATTAGTCCTGTCAAAACTGATTTTCTCCTCCCAAACTCCCCCACGCCAGTTATTTGTAAATTATTTTCAGCATTTCTCATTACATTTATGTCTGTAGTTCTCTGAAATCAATCTCTCTCTCCCTCTCCCTCCCTCCCCCCCTCTCTCTCGATGGGGGTCTCTCTATGTTGCTCACACTGATGGGGGGAGGATTCTCTATGTTGTGTCCAGGTTGGTCTCAAACACCCAGGCTCAAAGGATCCTGCCTCAGCCTCCCAAGTATCTGGGACTACAGGTGTGCATCATCGTGCCCAGCTGAAGTCTCCTTTTGAATTAGTTGTAACATCTTACTGGATCTCTTAATTAGTTGAGTAAAATAAAACCTTTGACGTGCATTCATTTCCTATTTCTATGGCAGTCTTGATTATATTCTTTTAAACAAATTCCATTTTAAAAAGTTCCTTTTATTCACAGTTAATTTAATTTTCTAGTATCCATTTTCAGTTGATTTGAGCAAAGTCAAATGCTAGATTGTGGGAAGCATCCCTATATGGTCTATCCCCTTTCCACAGTGCAAGGGTCTGTTTCATGACCTTAGGCTACATCTCTCTTGGTTGCACAGTGTTTTCTAAATAAAAAAATAGTGAGAAAACCATCTGCAATGACTTCAAGCCCAAGTTTGGTAGATGATAGGACATAGCAACATCAGCATTAACTGTGATGATTTTCACTGCCTCCCTAAGCTTATCATCATTTTTTTTTAAATGGGCAGTTGAAAACACAATAGGATTTTAAGGAAGACCTTTAAAGGCACAAATATTTAAGAAATGAAACCACTGGGAATGTTTACTTTCTCTTTAGATGCAGCCTTAACATCTACATTTTCTGCTTAGCCACTGTTTTCTTGGGAGGACACCAACATGTTTGGACAACACCTGCAATGCGACAGATTCTGCTTACCTAGAAACACTGCAAGGGCCTCTCTCTAGGAGGGTCAGCACTGATGAGAGGTGCCTTTGTGCTTCCAGTTTTCATCAACTAACAATGAACTTCCTACTTCTGGATGTGGCCAAAGTGTTCCGCAAGGAAAGAATCTAATCTGTGGTTTCCTAATTCCTTTGGGATCATCAAGGTCAGAAGGAAACTGTCCTAAGATTCTAGGCTAAATTCAGTCCTTATTCTTCAACTGAATTAATTTTCCCATGCCCTGATCTTTCTGGAGTGGCTGTAGATTTATGAAAGTGAGGAAAGAAGGGAAAAAGAATAACAGTGTTTAAAAATAAAATTTGTTTCTCATGAAATGAATCCCACTTTATGGTGTGTATTTTAGTGAGAATTCTTTTGGGTAGCTTACCATTTGTCAAGCGATCAAACAAGAAAATGTCAAAGTCCCACATTCCCACTTTGGAGAGCATATGCTGAAAAGGCAAACAGAAAATAGCACCAAATGAATCACATCGAGACTCAAACATTTACTTCGAAACACAGTGAATTAAACAACTAAAAAGTTAGAAATAGCACATTACTCTCTATGTGCAACTGGCTTGGAGTAAATCAAATCTCACTTTACCCACTAATGACAACTCAAGGGACAGGCTGTGGAGTTAAAAACCACCTGGTTCAATGATAGCCATGTCTCTTTCTGGCTGTGGGATGTGGGTCACATTTCCTTAACTTCTCTGTGTCTCCCTTTCTGCATTTGAAAAATGTGGCAGATAATTCTCTTTCAGAGGGTTGTCATGAGGCTCAAGTACAGTCACACTGTGCTTGGAACACTGCTCATTCATAATGAATACCTGTGTTGGCGTGTAAAACTGAAGTTCAGCGAATTGTCTACATCACAAACACTATGCATTGAAGGTAAGAGGTTTACAACACAGTTTTTAAAAATGAAAGTATTTGCTGAGCACATTATTTCGCTCAATGTGGACTGAATGTGAAATTAACCATTGTACAGGAAAGTTTGGGTAATTGAATGTATTGCATAATTTAAAGGCCTATTTCAATGCAGACTTATTCTATTTTTCTTTTTAAAAATAACACATGCTTGAAATTTCATGGTGACACAAAAACTGTTGATTCTGTCCTTAGTATAGTTCTGAAACTATACTCATCTCTCTTCCCAGACCCCTGACTCATGTAAGGATCAACTCCCCGTCCTTTACCTGCCCCTGAATGGCTTCCCCAGTGTCCCACAGCAAAATCCAAATACCTCACAAAGCCACTAACACCTTTATGATGTATCATAAAATTGAAGGGATTTTTGAGGTCTAGATTGAGTGAACTTTATAAAAAATCACATGATACCATAGGCAGACCTAGCACTTGACCTCTGATACCTGAATTTATGGTTTACTATTCTTTCTACATCTCAATGTCACCCTTTTTGAGATGTGGCTGTTCTGAGAATGGAATTCCCCAAGAGTACTCTGTCACTGATGCTCCAGTGCTGGGGTGCTTTGTCTAGCTTTCTCTTCAACCAACCAACTATCCAACCATTAACCAACCAAATAATTAACAACGAACTGACCCACAGACAAACACATACATACATACAGGTGTTCACTCAATTTCAGTCCATTTTTTTTTTTCTTTGTAGAACTAATATTGAGAATGGTTTTTCTGGTATTATTTGCTGCTCATTTTTCAATAATACATGTTAATCATTATTAATTCTTTCTTTCTTTTTTCTTTTTTTTTGGTACTGGGGATTGAACCCAGGGGTGCTTCACCACTGAGTGACATTGTCAGCCCTTTTTAATATTTTATTTGCAAACAGGATCTCTTTGAGTTACTTAGGTCCTAAGTTGCTTAGGGTCTCTCTGAGTTGCTGAAGTTGGCTTTGAACTCACGATCCTCCCACCCCAGTCTCCAGAGCTGCTGGGATTACAGGCATGTGCCACCATGCTGGGTTAATAATATAGATTTCATAAGAGTATATAGCTAATATAATAGAGCAAGTAAGGTATTAAATTCCTTTGGCAATTTAGGCTTATTTTTGTTTCTAGATTGTCATTAGTTTTTACCTCAGTCAGATCAATGTAGAGCAAAAATAGTTAGTTATTAAAAATTATTTGAATGAACTAAAAACAATAAAAGGGATAATGCACCAAGTTAATACCCTAATGTGGAATTGAGAGTGGTTAATTATTGAGTTATTTTCAGTGTCATTATTACAAGAGATAATTAAATGGATTAGAAAATTTAGTAATTCCCTCATTAGTAATCTAGCAGTCCAAAATTCTACTTAGTGTTGTGTGAATATTTTTTTTGCACATTTACAAGAATGAAAATAGCTAATGTGTCAAGCATGAGAATACTAAGCATATAAACATGTTTTACCTTGGGGCTAGGGGTGCAGCTCAGAGGTGAGGTATGTACTTAGCTCACATGAACACCACTAGAAAACAGCATGTTTTAACCCGCGATGCTGGCATTGCTCCTAAGAGTTGAGGGTTCCTATTACTTTCATTTTATAATTGATGGGAAAGTCCAGATGTGTTGAGTAACTAACCTAGAGTCACAGAGCTCCTCTGAAGCAGAGGAGGACTTTCTCACCCCCAGGTACTATTAGCTGAGACAGAGGCTGTTGGCTCTGACCCACTGCAGGTAGTCAGAGGGGTAACCAGCTTACCCGTGCTTGTCCAAGGTAGTCTTCATCCAGCAGGTGGAGGGGGGCTTGTGGTATGATTCCACGAAGCAGCCTCGATGCATGGAAGTATCTTTGGAAACTTAACAGTCGTTTCACCTTTTTCTTGGTGCCAATTTCCCCTGAGTGTGTTGTATCTATGGAATCAAATACAGAAGTTCATATATTTAAAAAAGAGCCTATTTTCTCCATTATGTAAAAATATAATGTACAGAAAATACTCAATACTTTGAGGGCTAAATTGAATTAAATATGGTCTATTTAACTCTACATTTGAAATTCTAGATCATAAATAATATTTTATATGTATGGCATTTATTAAAATGTCAAGATGTTTCTGAATGTACTTTTGGAAAACATGAAATTCATGAATTAAAGACTTTTGTTGTTGTTGTTGATGCTGGTATGTTTAGTAAGTGAAATTCACATACTTCTGCATACATTTGAAATGGGAAGTTTTGCTTTTTCTTCCTGCTACATTGGAACTGAGGCTCAAAAATATAGATCAAGTTCTCACCCTATTCTCTCTCCAGTCTGATGAACCCCTTCACTTAAATTAGAAGAGCCATGAGAAAAATGTTTCTTAATGTCCCTGGAATATCTTTAGCACAGAAATCAATAATCTCAGAGCTAAAGTGATCTAAATGCCCCTTCAAGAAGCAAAGAGGATGCTTGCTTTTCTAATGGAGTGTATCCTCTTCTATTGGTCACTATAAATATCTGGCAGTAGAGATATTTTAATACTCTTGTCATGTGTACCTCTCCAAACTTGACTGTCAACATCATGACGATCGTCCAGAAAGGTGCCAGGCATGTAATTTGAATATCTGTCAAGATAGTTCTTACCTCAGCGGAAATTCTGAGTCACTCTAAGGCCACCTAAGTAACATCTACTGCCAATTTTGGATGTAGAGTCAATTTAACACTCTTGTAGGAAAATGTACAGCTCATATATAAGCTGATTTTGGTTTGTGTCATACCTTCTCCCATCTCTTCTTTTGCTCTATGGAGCTCAAAATTATAACAAATGCCAGAAACAGAGGAAACGATGGCACTCCCTAATGGCAGTGAATGACCAACATTGATTCATTATGTAGGTTGTATCATGCATGCAAATACATGATTCAGAGATGGCAAGACCTACTCTTCTCAGGAACTGCTACCTGAATGAAATTAATTTTTATTTTAAAATGAATCTAGAGACCAAGAAAAGAGGCAGATATGTACACAAAGAAGTAAGTAGAGTACCACTGAAGTTGTGTTTAGGCACACATCAGTATTAAAAATGGTAGACATGGGCTTCATTCTGCGGGTGGCTTTTCACTCATTTCCATGAGTTTATTAAATCAAAGTACAGAATAAAGTGGTTTGTTCTTTTATTTAAAAAATTGAGTGCCTGTGTTCAGTGTGGATGGAGAGGAGAGAAAAGGGGAGAGCGAGAGATGAAGTCTTAGATCAAAGGAGAGCATGAAGATGATATATTTTATTAGCCTTTCTGTGGAGCCATGGCAAAGTTTTATGCAGAAAAGTGGTAAGAACAGTCTTATGTTTAAACAGGCCATCCTGGCTTCTGTGTTGAGGACTGATTTAAGAAAAAGGTTTGATGCAGAAAGATCTATTACTTGACATAATACAGGATAAATGGCCGCTTGGACAATGGTGGTGGCAGTGGAGAGAAATGGAGTTCCTTGGGAGCCCAGTGAGGAAATACAACAAGGATCCAGGTGTGATCCTAAGTATCTAATGATGCTAGTTCATCAGGTATGATGAGGACTGAGAGCTGACCATGAATTATATACTTAAAAAGAGCATGTTTTATTGCATGCCTACAAGCAACAACTCTCTGGTAACAATAAGCACATCTACACCCAGATTTTGTTTTTTAAATATGATTTCTCACTAAGAGCGATCAGACTGCATTGGTAAAGTGGCCTTTTTTAGGACTGGAACAGCAAATGGACAAGGTGAACTGTAACATCTTGTTATACCAGAAAAAAGGGATACCTTAAAAATGCCACAATTATTTAAAAATAACAGAGGAAACAAATTTTAAGAGGCTCCTCTGAGCAAATATGGGAATTTTAGAGTCACAAAATAAATAAGGAAGAACATGTTATAAATCATTGACTGAAATAAGAACTAACAAGTCCATAGAGATAGTAAGCAAGAAAGTGAATAAATAAGAAGGGAAAGCTCTTTTTTTGCAAAGAGTGCCAACTGAAAAGTGTAGAAGAAATAATAGAGCTGGAAAATTGCCATTTTGCAGACATTATAGTAATAACTGAATCAGGCCAGAATCCTTAATGGCTACTAAAGTTATTAAGGGAAATTTAAAAAGCAGTAGGATAATTACATAATGTCAAAGCATCTCCCTGCAATGACTTATTAATTAGAGAGGAAAAAATAGTCACTTTATAGTGGACAAATGTAGAAGGGGCACCAATCTTTTACAAAGTATTCAACAGTCACCAATAATGGGAGAAAGTGACATTATGCACTTCCTGATGTGAAACACTAAAGAAACATCAAGGATAGAGTGTTCCTGCCCCAAATGTACATCTAACCCCAATAAAGAGGAAACATCAGAAAAACCAGGTTGAAGAAACTCTACAAAACAATTGGTTTGTACTCTTATAAAAATGTCAATGTCATGAAACATAATGATAGTGTCAGGTATTATTTCAGAATAATGGATAACAGATTATTTCAGAATAATGGATAATAGTGTACTAAATGTGATGTGTGATCCTGAATTGGAGCCTGGATCAGAGAAAAATGTTCATGAAAGACATTTTAGGATAAGTTGTGAAGTTTAAATATAGACTTATGCAAGAGATAATAATACCATATTTATATATTTCTTAAATGTGATAACTGAATGATACAGATGAATGTCCTTATTCTTTGAGAACTACAGGTTAAAATATTTAGAGGTAAGGGGGCATGATGCATAAAACGAATTCTCAAGTGATTAAGGAAAAAAATTTATAGCAGTAGGAAAATATTGTAAAATATAATAATTGGTGCATATGGAAAAATAGTATGTGACTTGTTCCATTCTTGAAAATTTTCTACAAATTAAAAATTATGTTTAAAACAACATCAAGTACAGTCAACTCCTATAAGGAGTTTTACTGAGCTGGAGAATAAGAAATGGGATGATAGTTTCATATAAAAGGAAATCCATTCTTTCAATAAATAAATGAAAACAATTATTCCTATGTTATATATATATATATATATACACACACACACATACACACATACACTTGGAAATGAACCCACAGGCACTCAACCACTGAGCCACATCCCCAGCCCTTTTAATTTTATTTAGAGACAGGGTCTCACTGAGTTGCCTAGAGCCTCACTAAATTGCTGAGGCTGGCTTTGAACTCTTGATCCTCCTGCCTCATCCTCCTGAGCACTGAGATTATAGGCGTGTGCTACCACACCCAGCTCCAATATATTTTTTCTTGACAATTATTCAGAAGTGAAGTGAGATAGCCATTGGTAAAGATAATAACATGCTCTTTTCCTATTTGGGGGTCATACATAAAACTAAATGAAAAAAAAAAATCCTCAAGGTAACTCCCTAAAGGGGGAAAAAAACATGAAATAATGCCAGAAAAACTATGGTCATTTAAATCAGTATTAATTTTTACTAATCACTCAACTGTCATTTGAGAAGCATTTTTGTGCTGTGTGAGATAATAAAAACAAAGAATAAGAAACTGAAAATGTAGCTGAGAGGAAAAAAAATCCATAAAGAAAGTATCTGAAAGCAGATCACCATTCTGTATAACAGTACTAGGTACTACTCTTTTAAGTATTGAAATGTGTCATCAATCATTGTGTAAGTTCTGACATCTTTGTTTCTGAAAGGACTTTCTGTGCATAGCTAGCATATGTACTTTAGTAATTAGGAGTATGATCATATGCATTGCTGGATTAAAATTTTAAATTATTAGTTAAGTCTTACAGATGGCTCAGCTAAATTCAGCTCAGGAAAATCTATGGCATCTTAGTAATGTATCTAGTAGTGAAAGTGAGATTTATATGATAAAAAATTATTATTAGTCAGGCTCAGTGGCAAATGCCTGCAATCCCAGAAGCTTGGGAGGCTGAGGCAGGAGGATCGTGGGTTTAAAGCCAGCCTCAGCAAGAGCGAAGTACTAAGCAACTCAGTGAGACCCTGTCTCTAAATAAAATATAAAGTAGGGCTGGGGATGTGGCTCAGTGGTTGAGTGCCCCTGAGTTCAATCCCCAGTACCAAAAAAAAAAAAAAAAAAAAAAAAAAATCATTACTTAGAGGCATTCATCTTTGTTTGGATTTATTGTTTCATGGTCTCCAAATTCTCATTTGGAATAGTTACACAAAGGTGCTCTAGAATGTTCCATTGCCTCATCTATGTAAGCATTGACCCTAACTGTGAAATTCATTTTCTGTCCACTTGTTCCTTTATGAATATTACAAATATGTACATATTAACACATTTTTGCACTACTCTGGTACTAATTTTAGGGTTATGAAGTTTGTATTGGCTCTGCCAGTATGGTAATTTTTAAAATTTACAAGTTGGAGTTGGCTTAAGTGCAAAATAGGTTCATAAAAATTTTTTGAGTACCTTCTCTATGGCATATTCTCTTTATAGGGGATAATAAATGTTAGTGCTAGGAGAAACTTTGAACCTAGTATAAATACCTGAGATTTTTTTAAAAAAAGCTATAAGTATGCCTATATGATGAGGTCCTTTCTGTCAATTGTATACCTGATTCCTTGAATAAGATCAATATCAACTATTGCCAAAGTAGAGTAGCTAGCAATTAGTGCAGAAGTCTCTCAGGTGATACTAAAGACAAAGAAAGCTTTATGTTTAAGTGAAGAGAACTGGCCTCAAGTAAATATGGAACTCCAATTACATCAACTTAATATCAGCACTTTTGAACATTAACCCAACCAAAACTACTAAATAGTGTACTAACAAATGTCCTATTCTGCTAATTATTGTATTAATAATTATTGAAATTCTTTACTGGGCTAGTGGATATTCATAGCCTTTTAAAATTCTTTTCTTACATAATTTTTAATATGTCATCTTGTACCATTGAGTTATTGGTGTTAATGACTATTACACTC